AGAAGGGGCATATCAGGTAAGAACCAACGCCCCATTCTCCAAAGTTGGTGGAGACACCGGTCAAGCATGGGACGTATCAAAGCTGGCATGTCCCCGGGAGGGCATGAGACTGGCCTAGGAGCTGGAAGAAGGGAGAACCTGTTGGAGGACTCGACGTCCGAAAGCTGCATCTGCCGATGCATATCGATCCACTTTGCAATGTCGTATAAACGAATTAGGAGTAGACCAGGTTGCTGCCTTTCAGATCTCTTCCACTGAGGCCTTCCGTGCCCACGCCGCTGACGTAGCCGTGCTGCATGTGGAATGAGCCGTAATGTTGGGTGGAGGAGTGAGATGATGCGTGATGTAAGTTTGAGCAATGGCAGACCTGATCCATCGTCCAATCATGGATGCTGAAAATGGCCACCAGACGACTTTCGTGCCCAAACCAAACGGCCGCTGAGGCTACAGAGCCTATGGGCCAGCGCCATGAGGTAGACGAGGCCGCGCGGTGAGCGTGGGTGGTATAGGCCCTGCGGCAAGGCTGTGGAGCTAAGGGCGAAGCCGCGGACATGCAGCGGTAGCTGGAGCGTTGAAAGGACGGTGGCGAGGTGCGACGGCTGCAGCGGCGGGGGGCTCTTCACAGCTTTTTAAAGGCTTCCCGCAGCTTTCGGAAGCTCCTGGAGGTGGCGGCAACAGTCAGCGGCGCAAGCGGCAAAGCAGAGGCCGGGAATTCCCCCGCTGAGGCAGAAGCGGTGAGCAGAGCCTCCCACGGCTATTTCAGCTAGCGCTGCTGAATTAGGAAGCCTCAGAAGCCCGGAGGCAATTCCAGGCAAGCCCCCAGAGGCTATTGAGAGTCCTAACAGGAGCCCAATCCAGAGACCAATTTAGAAAAGTACTTTTCTTTCTTTGTTTGAGTGAAATCCAATTAAAGTAATATTAGTTGAGGAGAAAGCGATTAGCACAGCCAGTTCCAATTGAAGTGAGTCTAAAAAAGTGGGAGCATGCTTCTCAGAGGCGATGACATCACTTTAGTAGACTCAGTTCTATTGGTTACTGACTGAGTTAACCCATGCATGACCGCTGTCTCCACCAACTTTGGTGAATTATTATACCACAATTATAACATGGAAATATAGTAGCTGACTAAACAAATTAGCTGCCCAATTGCACAATTTCCCAATAAATGAAACTCGAAATGAACAGAAATCGTTAACAAACTTCACAGGATATACGAAGCTCAACTGTTTTTGGTTTTGGAAATAGGAATTAAAATGATTACAAAAAGTATTTCAAGAACCTGTTTATTGCAGCTTTGCATAGAACATATTATATCTTTTGCTATAACTTACTACAATTATTGGGGGAAAAAATCTGGAATGCCTATTTTGCCAAGGAAATGCTTAGAGTTTTTTCAAATTAATTGGAGTTTTTGATTTATCTTTAAATAACTGATCTCTATGAGATATCAAAACTAATTATGAAATTTTATTCAAATAAATAAAAGAAATAAATTCTCTATCAGTATGAAAAACAATAAACTCTAAAGCCCTTTCAGTTCCACAAAACTAATCTCATGTTAGTTTAGAACAGGGGTGTCAAACTGAAGGCTTGGGGGCTGGATCCAGAAACAGCGAAGGACCAGCCCGTGGTGCCCCTGCCAGCAAAAACGGAGCTCGGGAAGACCATGGGTGGCCCTCGCAAGCTATGTTTTTGCTGGCAGAGGGTTCAGGAGGCCGTTGCAACTGAAAACAGAGCTTGAGAGCACGTTTTTGCTGGCAGAGAGCTCAGGCCACCAGAGGTGCCCCCGACATGGGTGATGTTGAGCTGGCCACTCCCACCCTGGCCACGCCTACCCCCAGTCCCCCAAGGTCAAACAGAATCCTGATGCGGCCCTCAATGAAATAGAGTTTGCCTGGTTTAGAACTCGACCTTAAAAGTCTGTTCATGTAGATGTCATTAAGTAGCATCTACGATGTTATCATTTCTGCTAACATTAATTAATTAGATATGGGTAAGCAATATAAGTAAACTTTGAATACTATTTTCTCCCAATTCTATATTTTAAATTAACACTATGGTACTAAAATTGGAATGAGCTAAATAAGTAATATACTTGCTATTGATTTTGGATTGTTTCAGAAATATAACATGTGGAAATTAAAGTAAAAATCTAGCCATCCATTTTTGATTTGTTTGTTTGTTTTTGTGATAATGCAGTGTATGGGAAATCAGATTAACTGGTAATAATGTTATACATAAGGAAAAATAAAATAAGGAAAGGCATTCCTGGATGAAGTTATTCCAATGGGGAGAAGAGGAACAGAAGCATGATCTTTATGCTGGTGCATAAATAGGAGCCTGTGTTCCTATTAATAGCAATAGCAGTTAGACTTATATACCGCTTCGTAGGGCTTTCAGCCNGCCATGCACACATGCACGCACACACACACACACACATTTATGACCAGTTACAACATCCCACACAGTCATGTGACTGAGGTTTTCTATGTTTTTTGTCAGTTTCCAACAATTCCTTCTGGTTTCCGGTTAAAAATGCCTATGGGGAAAATGGACTTTATTTAACAACCAGAGTGTTCGCTTAATTACCACAAGGTTTACTTAATGACCAGGGGTCTGCAACCTCATTAAGTAAACCTTGTGGTAATATATATATATATATTTCTCTCTCTCTCTCTCTTTTCTCTCTCTCTTTTCTCTCTCTCTCATCTTTCTCCCTCTCTGATCTCCTCTATCATCTCTTTCTCTCTGTGTGTGTATATTGTCTCTCTTTCCCTCCCCTCTCTCATTCTGTGTCTAGTCTCTCTTTCTTCCCATCTCTCTTTTGAATTTTGAATATAGCATACAGAGATCTTCCTAAATTGTTATTAAATTGTAATTTTAATGCATCAGAAGGATGTTATTTATGGGGAACATTATCTATATATAATTTTATTTAAATATAAATAATAATTTTGGCAATGCATTTCTGATATATGCCCTGAATAGCATTTTTTTATTTTTTATAAAGGCTCATTCTCTTAGAATTATAATTAAAGAACATCTGTATGATACTTACGTATACTTTTCAAATTAAAATATGCTGGATTTGAGTCAAATCAGGGATAAGCAATCTTTTACTAAATAGGCTATAGGAGAAGTAGATTTTAAGATGACCTAAGGGAGAGTTGCTGCTTTTGTAACTGTGAAATATTTCAGACCTTATATATGTGTTTCCCACTTAGAATACCAAGAAGTTTTCATTTTTCCGTTATCATAATCGCAGTAGACTCAGAAGGCTACAATCTGCCTATCCCTGAATACAGCTGTCTCTATATAAATGATAAGAAAATACTCTTACATATATACGGATGACTGAAAATGGGGCGTTGGTTCTTACCTGATACGCCCCTTCTCTGGGCAGGTGGAGACAGCGGTCATGCATGGGTTAACTCAGTCAGTAACCAATAGAACTGAGTCTACCAAAGTGATGTCATCGCCTCTGAGGAGCATGCTCCCGCTTTTCTTGACGAAGGAGATAAGTAGACTGCTGTGCTGTGAACAATCGCTTTCCCTCCTGTGACTTCACAAGATGCTCCCAGATCTCCCTTATGAAGTAGGCCAGGACCCCAAAGGGTGGGGATGACCGCTGTCTCCACCTGCCCAGAGAAGGGGCATAACAGGTAAGACCCAATGCCCCATTCTCCAAAGTTGGTGGAGACAGCGGTCATGGATGGGATGTACCAAAGCTGGCATGTCCCCGGGAGGGAGTGAGACTGGCATAGGAGCTGGAAGAAGGAAGAACTTGTTGAAGGACTCGCCGTCCAAAGGCCGCATCCGCCGACCCATACCAATCCACCTTATAATGTCATATAAATGAATTAGGAGTAGACCAGGTAGCTGCCTTGCAGATCTCTTCCACCAAGGCCTGTCGCGCTCACGCCGCTGATGTAGCCGCG